GAAGAGGGACATTAAAGAACAACGAGAAGTAAAGAATCCAGGGCCATGAGACTACTGGAGAAAGTCAGCACAGAGGTAGCTGCAGTGGTTGTTGATTATACTGGTTGTAGTTTGTACCAAAATTGAGAAAATGAGGAGCTAGGGAGTAAATATACTGAGATCAGGTTCCAAGGTTGTGTCACACCTCACAGTTTGAAATGAGCTCCTACACCACAAAATCCTGAGTTTTGTGATGCAAGTTCTTCTTCTTCATTTTTTCACTGGTCCCATAAAGACTCGTGCTGATGACTTGGCAGGGGGTTAAATTGACTGTAATAGGTGACCAGATCCAAAGAGAGCAAAGAGTGTTGGATGCCCATCCCCACTAAGACATGAAAAGCTCAGGGCCTCCAAATAGAAAATACAGATTAAGTCAGGCAAGGGCAGAGCAGGGACAGCATGAACTGAACATCCAGACACATCTCCCACATCGCAGGTGGCCTATGGCAAGTCTACCACAGATGGCCCATGGCAGGGAGGACAAAGGCTGTGTTGGAAAGTTGATAAAATCCCAGCTGCTCAATCCATATTCCACAAAATCTTGGAAACCAGACTCCTACGTGGGTGCCTGCAAAACTTCTGTAGTAGGGCAATGTGTGAGCGTTTAGCATAGTCGGGGATGCAGCATTGTGAGGAGGACACTGGCACAAGTGGAGATCACTCAAGCTGACAGATCTAAAACTTACTACAGTGGACTTTGGCTCTGTGACAGCCACAGAAATTGGCTTAAGTGCCACCATCTGCACAGAAAGAACTCCAGAGAAGGGCCACAAGGATGATCCAAGGGCTGGAGCACTTCTCCTACAAGGACAGGCTGAGAGAGTTGGGGCTGTTCAGCCTGGAGAAGAGAAAACTCCATGGAGACCTTCTAGTGGCCTTCTAGTACCTGAAGGGGCTCCAGGAAGGCTGGGGAGGGACTTTGGACAAGGGCAGGGAGTGACAGGACAAGGGGTGATGGCTTTAAACTGGAAGAGGGGAGATTGAGATTGGATATTAGGAAGAAATTCTTTGCTGTGAGGGTGGTCAGACACTGGAACAGGTTGCCCAGAGAAGCTGTGGCTGCTCCTCCCTGGAAGTGTTTAAGGCCAGGCTGGATGAGGTTTTGAGCAAGCTGGTCTAGTGGAAGGTGTCCCTGCTGCTGGCAGGGGGGTTGGAACTGGATGATCTTTAAGGTCCCTTCCAACCCAAACCATTCTATGATTCTATGATTCTATGATTCTATGATTCTATGATTCTATGATTCTATGAACTTACTGTCACTCACCACCACTCTGTCCCTTCCTTGCAAAGGAGATGGCCAGCTCTTGCTGCAGCTGGCTCTCTCTGGGGTAGACAAAAGATCTCAGGCCTTTCACTTTGTTTCATCTCTAACTGAGACTATCCTCCACCTAACTCACCTCTAAGAGCTCTACAAAATCGTGGGCAAAAGCAGTGTCTGAGTTTACATTTATTTGCTCTTCCACACTGTGAATGGTGGTCTCCTTGGAGAAGTCTGCATTAATGAAGAGGCTGCAATGATCTTCTATTGCAGGGACTAGGTTAGATGTGGAAGAAGGCAATATCACCAGAGAAAAGCTCCCTTTGCAGTTCTGACATCCTCTTGCTGCACAGAGTGTCTCTGTGCCTCAATCAAACATAAGAGTTATCTCAATGCATCCCAGAAGTGGAAATTATAGGGTAGCTGTGGCTCAGGTGTGGCTGATCACAGTGTTGTCTCACAGTGTTCTGAGCAGAGTTAAAGCAAACAGTGATCAAACAGCCCAATCTTCCTCCTGTCTCTGAAGTTTTTACTCTTATCATTTCTTGTCAGGGTGTTAATAGGCACAGACACAATTTCATGTGGTTATGCAAACATTGTCTGAGTTTGCCCGTCAGACAGATCTCCATCACATGCTTAAGTCCTACCATACAGTTTTAGCTGCACATTTGTTCCTCAACTCATTTTGTCTCTGATGTCTCCCAGCATCCTCACTCGGGCTGTCTGTATCACAGTGGGATTTGGAGATAAAATGGTTTTGTCTTTAGCTGCTACATGCCCAGCTCCCTGGCATCAAGATGCTTTTATGGATCACACAATGTAACAAGGAAATGATGCTCCCCAGGGCTCAGGGCCCAGCTGGTGTAAACCAGCAAGCATTGGACTGGTGCTGATTGATGCTATCTGGGGATATGTCCCCTACCCCACCACTAAATCACTTTTGCTTTCTGTTCCGGATCACAAACTCAAATTTGCCTTTTTTTTGCCCCCCCCTTTTTTTTGCCTTTTTTTTTAAAATTTTTAAATGAAGACAGCAGGGAAGCAGCTGTGAAACTTGCACAGCAACAGAGAGAGTAGAAAGGCTGGGAGTTTATTGTTTCCCCTCTTGGGCTGAGCAATTTTCTTTCCTCATCATGACCATTTGAAGGAGGGAAAAAGGAGAGAGAGAGCAATTGCTAGTAATACAATCCCAGGGAATACTTAGTTAAACTGACAATGATTTTTATTCTGGTAACTCCCTGACCTCTGAGATCTAGAGTCTCTTGCCTAAAAGCCTCAGAGGTTTTCTTTATGTTTATGTGGGTGAGCATGTAGAGAACTAATTCCCTCCAGAAACTGAACCTGAAGGCAGCTCTTCCATGTCAGACCAACAAGATTTCCCCTCAGGGGCCCTTTCTGAGTCAGACATGTGCTTCAGGGCTTTGTTCACCCCGTAGGAGTTCACACAAGCAAAAGGTACCTCTGTTTGTTTCCCAAAGAATAAAACAAGTGGTGAATCAGCAAGAGACACCAGCTTTCTAATTAAGTGCTTGTTGGTGCTATGTAAACTTGAGCCACTCTGGTGGAACCTGATGCTTGGTTTCTAGTAAGGAGAATTTCTTTCCTGGGACTGCAGAGAAAGGGGAGGGGTTTCTTTTTCAACAGAGGAAATTTTGCATCTCAGGAAATATTTGTTGGACATTGGATTGCTTTTTGGTTATTTTAGCAGCTATATGGCTTCTTCACATATAAATGCCTGTGCACCCTCGGTGACAGGGCAGAGCTCTGAACGTGGGTTAGGGCTCCCCATTTGGCAAGGGAAGTGTGGTTCCCCCCACCAAGCCCAGTCTGCAGCTCATTTGGTAATCACAGCTCCTCAACTGCCCTTTTCTCCAGGTCTGGTCATTCTTTGCTATTCCAGCTGTTCACCTTCTTGCTAAAGGTCAACTCTTCGAGCACAGGATCTGGGATTCTCCTCCGAAGGAGTATAAGGAGATCTCTGTAGACACCTCTGCATTCTCTACAGTGGACATTACTGAGGTCTGGAGAGCAGTACCTGATAAATCCATGCACTACTTCAGTTTGCCTCTATCTCATACCAAGTAAAAAATGAGGAGACCTCTTGGGGATTAAGATAAAGTTCTTGTTATTTATTATACTACTCACACGTATAAAACAACCAGCTCTCTGCAGGCACTCTTGTCCCATTTGTCTCAATGACACCTTCTGCTCTGTTTTATAGTCATCTGACTGCTATTGCCAGCTTAAGAATTGGCTCTGGATGAAAGCCAGTGTAGAAAATGGGTAGGTTTTTCTGATACATTTACTAGAGCAGTTGAGGACAGCATGCAGAGGAAAGAAACATGGTGGGAACATATCCAGGCCTCTCCATCAAGGTATTCTTGAGATGGGACAAGGTATCCCACCACAGCTCAGCCACCCTTCCTGGCAGGGAGTGCTAGTAACAGAGAGAACAGGTAACATCTTGACCCACCTCATCTGGCTGCTAACCAGGTGTAAAGGATATTCTGAAGATGCACATGCTCGCTTAAAGACATCTATATTGAAATTTCCAACTCATGTCATATTTGACAGATATTAGATGGCTTTTCAATCACACTTGCTGGGTCTGACCCACAGACACACTCTATTTTCAGTGGGGTACCAAAATTCAATATCTTCTTCCTACCTGGTATCTCATGTTCTTCTCTCCTTCCTTCTCCCAACAGGGCACCCTCCAGAAATTTGTAGATGACCTCTTTGAAACCATCTTCAGCACTGCTCACCGTGGCAGTGCGCTTCCCTTGGCTATCAAATACATGTTTGACTTTCTGGATGAACAGGCTGACAAGCACAACATCCATGACCCCCACGTGCGGCACACCTGGAAGAGCAACTGGTGAGTGAGACACCCCAGTACTGTCCAGCACCAGGTCCTGGACTGGAAGGAGAGTAGAGGGAGATGTGGTTTGGGATCTGGTTGCTGGGGGAGCTGAGGAACCTGGTGTGGGGTTCAGAGCTCCAGGCTCAATGCTTCTAAGACGATGGGGAGGTCAGAAGATCCCAGAATCTAAAGGATGCTCTCAAGGATGGAGCACTTTTGCTAAGCAGGTCCTAGTTTGCCCTGTATTGCATGGGGATGGCAGTACTTCTGAGGGATCTCATGAGGATATAGGAAGAAAAATGGTGAAGTATTCAACTGCTGCAGTCCCCAGGCCCAAAGGAATGTCTAGGGAGGCATGGGAAGAGGATTCAGCAGCATGACCTTCATCTAGACTGGGTGTTTGAATTCCCATTATAGTCAGTGAGGGGCTAGAACTCCATTTGTTTGTCCACACGTAGGCATCTAGTGCCATCTGAGATATTTTAAGGTATCCCAGACAACTGCATGGGATGTGCAACACCCATAGGAGACTTATACCCTCCTGGGCTGACAGCTGGAACCCAGGACAGCATCTTAAATATTAATAAGCACTTAAAGGGTCTAGAGCTGGATGTGAGTCTCCTTCAAAGCCAGTGACAAAGTCTGACATCAGCTCCCTGCTCTAGCTACCAAGCAGCAGCTCCTGTGTGTACATGTAATGGGACAGAGGGGAAAAGTCAGGATCGATGGAGAGAAAAGATCTTTGAGGCTCCTCTACACTGAGTCTCCCTGTTGGAAAGAGTCCCCTGGGGAATCGTTCCCTCCCCTTCTCCTGTGCAAATACAGGGACTATAAAAGGAACAGCAGAGGAGAGCCATGGGGCTCCCAGCTCTTTTTTATTTCTTTTTTTCCCCTTTACCAGCCATGCTGATGGCAGATCGTCACAGAGCAGTGACATAAAAAAAGAAACCCCATGCACCAAAGAGGTTTTCAACTAATGAAACATTAGCATATTATTAACATTATCTGCGGCGCTAATCTAAGGCTGATTGCAGCCACTCAGATTAAATGAGCAGGAGGTTTATTTAAAGGGGGAGGGGGGAAGGCAGAGTGTGTGTCTATGTGGGAAAAGGGGCAGTGTGAAGAAATCTGTTCAATCAGATTAAATTAACTCGAAGTCACATCACGGCCTTCATTATTCCCATCTAGGGACATCATTCCCCCAGCCCCTCCCCACACCCATACACACGATCACACGCTCATACATGCACTCTGTGCTCATCCTCACTGTGTGTTTACCATCCATACACCTGTAGAAGAACTTCTGCATGGTTCACTCATCCACCTCATCCTTCAAAAGATGAATCCTCTCTTCCCAGCCTAAAATGTTTCCCAACTCACATCAGCTTTTATTGCCAGCATCTCCTCCTTCTTCTGAACTTCTGCCCTTTCCCCTACAGAGGCTGCTTGGCTAATAGGATTACCCATGTGAGGTTTTCCTCCTTACATGTGCTCTGTGATTTTGATGGCTCAGGAGAACACAAGTAGTTTTGGAAAACATTGTGTCATCCGTCTGTCAGAACATGTTAAACTGCCTGATGTTACCCACAATGTATTGGACTTGGAGATGTTTTTTTTAATGGTGCTGTGAACACATGGGGGTAATGAACAAATGGAAGTAACTTAGGAACTGGGGAGTTTAGCTTGAACATGAGGTGAATTTGTTAGGCTGTAGAAAAACCTCCTCTTGGGAAGTTGCAGACAGTGAAAGTAGACTTAACAGTCTACCTGACAGAGAGACAAAAGTCTAACTCTGTGATCAGTGACACATCTCAGCTCCTAAGCTACGATCACATGAATGCATTTGCCCTGACACAAAAAGGCTTGAGGCAAAGGCTGGAGGTAGATACCTTAGGGCATCTCACACAAATGAACTGCTCTTTTGAGAAAAAAGAGGAAAAAAAAGGCTTTGGATTGCAACTGGAATAACATTTCCTTGGTTATGGAAGATACATTTTCATTTCAAAGGTTGCAACACTTGTTCTTCAGTTCCTCTTTTTCTTGAAGCAACAGAGTTTTCCTTGTCACAGAATGACTCCTTCAAGCCCAGTGTGCTCGAATCATACATGGGCTTATGGAGCTTCACAGCACATGGTGTCCACAGCACACAATGCATGCCATTAACATACCTAGTCTCAACCTAGGATCTCTACCTACCTCTCTTCCCATGGGGTTGCTGGGAGGACTAAAAGCTGAGTCCCTCAATGACAAATGTTCCCTGTAAGTTTTGTGGATGCAATGCCTATCCTCATCTGATGAAGTAGCCAACAGGAACAACTTTACATCACAACCTAAAGTAAAGAAGTATAGGAGTGATTTTCCTCATGTCAATTATATTCCCATTAATTTATGTGCAATTTTAATAAGATGGCATTGACTTTAAGATTGACAAAATCTGGCTTGTAAGGATAACAGGGCCAAAAGCCACTCCCAAGGTGACTCCACTGCCATCCCTAGAGTCCTGCAGGGGAGGAATTTATTGTATATCAAGGTTTATCCCAGAATCTTTATCACCACATCATGATCTTTGATTCCTATCCACCATTTACTATTGTCACCTCACATAACAAAGCCTATGAAATATGCACTGACTGAACTCACCTCTTCCCTACCTCCCACCCCTCTTGCAGCCTGCCATTAAGGTTTTGGGTTAACATGATCAAGAACCCACAGTTCGTCTTTGACATCCACAAGAACAGTATCACAGATGCCTGCCTTTCTGTAGTGGCTCAGACTTTCATGGACTCCTGTTCAACCTCAGAGCACCGTCTGGGCAAAGACTCACCCTCCAACAAGCTTCTTTATGCCAAGGACATCCCCAGCTACAAGAACTGGGTGGAAAGGTGAGTTTTAGTTCTAGAAACAGGAATGACATAAGCAAACTCTACAATGAGGTCCTGCTTCATGGATGGAGGTAGTAGGCATCATCAGTATTCCTTTTGGTAGCTGTTTTTCTTTAGTTATTGCCTAAGTAGAAAGCTCTGTGTTAGTCTTTTGTTCCCACATTCCTTACATACAGAGATAGAACTTTAATTAGAGGTGTGAACTGAAGGTGTTTGCCATCATTGTTTCTCTTGAGGAGAAACTGTTGAGAAGTGATAGAAGAAGGAAGGAAGGGGAGGTGATGTGTTTGAGCCCTGGGAAGTATGTGGGCTTCTAAGTCTTTCCACACAGATCAGAAGTGGTTTGTTGTTCTCAACATCATTGTGACAGTCCCCACACTGCCTAGATCCCAAGGGTCATACGATTATCTCCTGTTATTCTGAGCCCAGTACCTTTCCTTGGAGGCTCTTCTGTGCTTTGAATGAGATGCCATAAGATTGACAGGCTGGTGACTGAAGCTCTGCAGGTATTTTCTGAAAGGTCAGAGGTCTTTCCAAGTGTTTTATCCACATCTGCAAGACCTGTAGCTGTACTGTTCAATCTACTGCACTGAAGGTCGGCATCTGACAAACCTGCTCTGCAGGGAATACAACCAAGACAAGTATTCCTGCAGTATCTAGGGGCTTCAGTTTCTCTAAGATTTTCTGCAGGACAATAACACATCTTGCACTCCATTCAGAAGGAGCCTGTCTGCTGGAGCAAGCTTTGCAGAAGTTGGTCTGTGCTTTATGTTCCAATATGCTTCGCTTGCTTAGTGTTATTGACAGGTTTGGGAACTGCACAGATGGAGAACGATTACTACACTGTAAATACAAAGATGGGTTAATCGTACAGATCATTCCCGTGGAATGCCATCCAGTTTTAAACAATGATTTGTCTGGGTGACTTCATAGACACTGTCTAAAATTGGTACTGTGTCATGCAGGTTATAGGAGACCTCTGCTAGTGTAGGCACACTATGCTGTAAACCACTATGTTTCCTTTGGTGGGGATGATTTTTTCTCATTTTGTGAAAGGAGAGCACAGCTGATCAAAGACCTCTGTCCCCTAGTTGGCATGAGGTGACATTTTTTTACAGTAATGCTCCCATTGGTCTCTGATTTGTCTGGACTATTATTTTTAGGTATGGTTAAACACTTCTGCAAATGTCGTTTCTAGGCAACCTGTAAGGCTCTTACAAGATACCTTTCTTAATTATGACCTACTTCTGGTACTGTGTCCAAGTTTCTTAGTATGTATTGAGATTGATTGCTGGATTGACCTGGATAGGAGGAAAAAGGTGTTTGACATTCATTTAGAAATCAAGTTTGCAGCAACAGTGACCCAAAGGTGTCATACTCTACTGACAACCTTGCATGGGGTGGGTTGTTGGTTTCTGTGGATAAATACTTTGTTTTATATGTGACCTTGGCTGATTTTTTCTCTCTGGAGTTGGTACATTTGAGTGAAACACTGAGGTATGTAGCTTGAGAACAGCGTATTTTATTTTGTTGGTTTGTTTGTTTTGGGGTATTGTTTTGTTTTGTTTTGTTTTTTTCCCAAAATTGATTTCACTTTACAGTTTTTTGGAGCTAAATCCTGTTGCCCAGAGATCCTCAGCAATAGGTGCTGCATTACCATGGAAGTTTTCCTGAACAACTAGGTTTGTAAACTAGGTACATAACATCTCCTGCTGCTGATAAACAACACTGGATTTCTGTGCCCAGCATGTGCTGGATTATCTGCACTGATATCTGACAACTTGAACTGAAGCCTAAGGGGAGGCTGCAGGTTTTGGAATATGGTTAGAGCTTCTGCCCTGCTTATATTTTTGTGTGTCATTTCCACTGACTTAAGGTAGAGGCACAGGGATGCTGTGTTAGATCAAAGGAAAAACATATCAAGGATGAATAGAATATAATTTCAATTCTACTCTGAGTTAATGAATTCCTTTTCTCCATTCTGCAACTATACTTTGAGGGAGTTATTCCAACTCCAATGACTTCCAGTACTGGTTGGAGCTATTTCTGTAGTCAGCATCAGCTGGAGACAGCATCCTTCAAGACCACTAGACTTCTTCAAAGAGCGAATCATAAGATAAAAAGATTTTCAGTGAGGGAGTTCGAGAAGTGGTTGAGTAATTCAGAAGAACCTGAAATCAAACAAACTTCTTTGATGAAGAAGAATCAATAAGAGGGCAATTAAGCAGTGGTAGATTGTAACCCTACTTGAAGGCACACTGGAGTAAAGACAGACTCCTGTCTTTTAACAGGTCTGTTGAAATGGTAGCTGAGCTGGGTTACTCCAAACCTTCCCTTTGCAACTCCTGGTTTCTCAGTGTGGAGTGTGCCTTTCGGACTCACAAAACTCAAAGCAGGGAATGACCTTGGCACAAGAAGGAGATATGGGTAAAAGCACATACCTTCAATCCTTCAAAGATTAGCTTTCTGCCTCTTTAAAGTGTGAATTTATGTTGGGATAGCTATCAATTCTGGCCTGATCGATGGTCTACTTCCACATGGTAGTCAACTGGGAGTTTGATTTCAACAGTCCTTTTTTAACACTGCTGGAAGCAGAGGTTGACTCTAGCTGCTGAAACAATCCTACTGAGAAATCCTGACTTTTGGAGAAAACCAAGTTCAGCTCTGAGATTACACACCCAGGACTCTTTCACTGTGAAAACACATGGCTGGAAAGTATCTAGGTGCAACCACAACCTGGATTTCCTGGGGCAGAAGATGAGGCCTGACTGAGGTGGGAGAATTAACCTAGGAAATGAGAACAGACTATTTGGCTTTTGTTGAAGCCATGAAGAGTCAAATGGTAGTTAAAACAAGTTGGAGGCTTTTCAATTATCATTATCTGAGTCTATTGAAAAAAAAATTAAAAAAAAGAGGAAAAGAATGGGAATGGCAGACCAGATTCTCATCTGCCTTCTGCTAGTATAACTCCATAGGCTTTGCAGAATTTACATTAGAGCAGCTTCAGATCTGCATCTTTTCAAGTTTACTTCAAATATCCCCTTTGAGCCTAGAAATCTGGAGAATTTGGGAGCATTTGATGCAATCCCCAAGCAATACAAAGGGGAGCCTGTTCTAATTGGGACTGTCTCATTAGCATTCAACACCACACTGAAAAGATGACAAAGGGCTGTGGCTGACCTTTCATTTCTCTCTATGCTGCCAAGCTTATGATAACACTTGTTTGAACTTCATTAACACCGTTTAATTGCCTGCATCACAATCAATAAGATGTTTCCCTACCGAAGCCTGGCATGGAGGCAGGGATGTGGGAGACTGAAAAGGGGCAGAGCATAAAATACAGAAGCCAAAGAGTTTTCCCATTGCACACTGGTGCCCAAAATACCTGCAGTGCTGCAAGGAGAAGAGCTGGTGCTTTTTTCTTATCCCTACAGGGAAGTGATCTCCTTTTGGCTGCTTATTATGCATTAAATATAGCCCCTCAAAGAAAAGCTGAAAGTCAACGGAGACATTGCAAAAATTCTTAACACCTTGAGAGCCTTCTAATGAAGACTGTTCAAAATAGACTTCCAAGTTTGGGACTAAAAGAGGTTTAAATTGACCTGATCTATGCAATTCAGAATTATAATATCTGCAGTTTATTATGTTAACCTGGGTCCATACACTACCTGACCTAGGTGTTGGTACCCAAGTCTTGGGTCCATGATCTCATCTCTTTCCTTTTCCTGAAGCAACTATGATTTACATGACATTAGCCTCTAGATGTTGATATCTTAAGCTCATTAGAAAGTGCTGTGGGAGTAGGTTTGGAGTATGTGGAATGAATAATCTGTCCCCATTTGGGATCTAACCTATATAACTTGTCAACCTGTGGTTCCAGGACTCTGTAGTCAATAGATGGTTTCTTCCAGTGCAGTGCTTATGATGTTTGTTGGTCACTTTACAGCTAGCTTTAGAAAGAAAGACAAATTGGACTAGTTTAGTGCAATTAAGATTATAAGTTGCATGCACCCTAGCATTGTAAGTTATTGAGGTCTTAAATAGAAACATTGAGGTGAATACAAGGGCTTTAAAGGAGAGCATCAAATGACAGGTGCAAATCCTGTCTCTACTTTAAAAAATGCAGTCTTTTGTGTCTCCTTTCCCTGCCAGAAAGAAGGTTCAAGATATAGCATACCAAGGGTCAATGTAGGGGTGTGTTGTCAGTAGAGATAATAAAAACCAGTGTTGGAAGGGGCCTCGGGAGATCAACCCGACCAGCTCCTGCCTCAGGGCAGGATCAGTTCTGTCTAAAATATTCCTGACAGATGCTTGTCTACTCCTTTCTTAAAGGCCTCCCTCTGCTCTCCTCAGGCAATCCATTCCTGTGCTGTTCTGTCCTTTCCATCAGAGTGTTTTCCGCCAAAATCTCCCTGGCTGTAATTAAAGCCCATGACGTCTCATTGCTTCCCCAGGGGCAGGGGGTACATCTCATTCCCTGCCTCTCTGCTGTAGCTTTCAGTGTTATCTGAAGACTGTTTGCTTGTCTTTGCTCACTTTATGTCTCCAAAAAGCTCCCAGTATTTTCATGTTAGGTTTTCAATTGGACTTGGTGATCTTAAAGCTCTTTTCCAACCAAAACGATTCTGTGATATAGTGCAATTTGCAGCAGGCAAGATGAAAATGTGTTTATAGGTAGAGGGTACAGCTTCAAACCCACACATCCTCTGCACTGAGATGACACCAGGTGGTTTCTTCTCTCAGAGAAACTACCTGTGCACCGATTCACTCTTCAGGCATTGACTCAGTGCTGCCCATCCATTCTCTACCATTTATTCTGAGATGAAAAGCAGCACATGCAAAATAAAATCATTGACCTAGCTAGGAGACGCATACACAGACAGAATCATTCCTTCAAGCTCTTCAAGGCTTCTAGTTCTTCTCTGGAAGAACTGACAGGTCTTCAGTTAACTTTGGGGTTGGTACCTTTTGCTTAGCTGTCATGCTATTACTGTCAAAGTCCAATCAGTATTCAACAGCCTGGCCTTGAATCTCTCTCTGAAATAGGATCAGTCAGGGCTAACGGAGTCTTGTGGTTGCCTGTAGCTGAATCAACACAAATGCAAACTTTGCAGTTCAGATGCCTCCCAGAAAGCTAAAACTGCCATACTGTGTCAACAGAAGAACTGACAGCATGTCCTTGCATTGCTTCACTTCATCCCATAAAGTCAGTTGCCTGCTTGGTTGTTCCCAAGCTTTCCTTCAACCCTTCTCTGCTATAAGAGTCCCCCTCATCCTTTTCATGCATCTCTTCCTCCTTCAGTGGTCTGGATACAGCCGGCTATTGCATAACCCTAATGATGTTATTGCTGTAATTGTGTCTGCTGTCTGCAGCACATGGATTCGTTACAAGCTTTTCATATGCTAAAATGATTATTAATGAGTGCAGTCCCAACCCAGCAACGGCACAACAACAGCCATGACAAAAAGATCTTTTGGAAGGCAATTAGCTCCATGCTAAGCTGCCTAAACCGTGTCTGTGCTGGAAAATTTCAGACTGGAGAGGAAGCACTGGCAACACGGCTTTTTTCTTCTCTTTTGATGAGTTAATGAGTTACTGAGTGGCAGCAGGCACAGTCATTCTTGTGAAACAGCTCCACTAAGGAGCTTTTTGTGGTTGGTACCAAAGGCAAGAGCATTTACCTCTGGCTAGATGGGCAAGATGTATTCCCAAGTCACTGCTTTCTTAGGAAAACAATAAAACAAAACAAAATAAGACA